AAAACCTACACCTTGAGGAGCTGCTGTGAGGATTCAAAGGAAAGAAAGGTTGTGGTAACCTGTCCTTAGTAGGGCTCACCAAACATTAGTTGCAATTCTCCGAGTGCATCTTGAGAATCGGCTGGCCCTTCCAGGAAACAGTTGACCTTATTTCTCTAGATTTTAAGCATCAGAATCAGGAACACTCTCTAGACAAGGGGCATAATAGGGTTGATAGAACAACTAGGTTAAACACACACTCATAAATCAGATTAAAATAAAACATGCTACAAATAAGTTTCCTTTTTCTCACACTCAAGGAAGAGCAGGTCATCATCAATTCTGGCTTGTACCAGATCAGACAAATGGCCATCCACTTGGAAATGACCTCCCCTAACTAATAATGTTATAGGCTAGATTAAGACAATGCTTGAGTATAAGAAACAGCATGCGTACAGCATTTCGGATGCTATTCAGAGCATATATTCATTACTTAAAATCCATAATAATCCTGGGAAGTAAGTAGGGCAAATGTTACTGTCCTGTGTTCCCAAAGAAAAGAATAAGACTAATCCTGCTGCCCTTGATTCTCTCAAGGCTACTAGGATCTCAGAGGGGAATCGTTGTAGAAAAAATTAAATTCAACCTGTTCTTTTCTGTGCCAAGATAAGTTACTTTTAAAAATATATCCTTAAATATAAAGTAACAGAACCCTTAAATAGAGCATCCATCATTCCTAACCTACAAAAATATGGTTATACTTTGATAAATTGGTCAAATGTAAATTTTCTTTTCTTTTATATTATGAAGAGGAAAAAAAAAGCCACATCTGATTTTAGACCCTGCTACATAGGCAAAGGCCCCAGGACCCTTGTGGTGTGGAGAGATGGTACTGGGAATCTGCCAGGTATGCTTAACAGTTCAAAGAGCCTAAGCAAACATTTTCTATTCTCTCTCACATAATTAGGTTACCCAGACTAATTAAAATCACAAATTTTTCTTTTGGCTGAAATTTTGGTAGCATCCAAGACCACATGATATGGCCAGAGGCCCTGATTGGTCTTTGATGATATCACAGAAATTCTGAGACCTGCAAGCAGGGCCGCAAGGTGACTTATGCCCCATGCCCAGCCAGCCCAGCTCCTAGCAGCCAGCACAAGAGCGCATGGCTGTGCGTGCCCGGTCATGAGTCTCCTCTAACCCTTCAAGACAGAGAAAACATTAGGAGGTAAAAGTCCAGGCACACAGAGCCAGGTAGTGTGAAAAGAGTCCTTGGTGGTTAAACGGCTGGGAGCCACTGGCCTACCTGTGAGGACGACCGGTTCTCTGATGGAAGTGAGGGGACAAGGGGTAAGGGGAGGACACCGATAGGGGTTTTTCCAGTAATGAAGTAAGAGACATTTCTCACCACAGATTAAGGATCTCTCTAGAGCCTGATAAATGCACATTAAGAGGTGACACACAGGAATTTTATCATTCATGTATATGAACACACTTAAACGGAAATGTTTACCACTTGTCCTAGAGCATTAAAATGAGCGCTTTTAAATAAAGTAACAGAGGGCATTAGCTCTGCTGCTTCCAAGTGAGGGGTGAAGGGAAATGAACACTTTTCATTCCCACCTCCTTTATGATATTTGCCCACTGAAATGGCAGTCAATGGAGGAAGAGCACAGACCTCGTCAGAAGATGAGGGTTTGAATCTCAGCTCTGCCATTACATGCTGAGCAGCGCTGGGCACACAGTTGCTTGATATCTTTGTGCTTTGGTTTCCAGCTAAAAAAATGGAGGCAATACTTCCCTCTCCAGAGAATGCGGTATTGCTGAAAGAGCAATGGATTACAAGTCAGTGAGTCCCTTCCTTCCAGTCCCAGGTCTACCATCGACTTGAAGGGCACACTTGGATCACTTGCCTAATTCCTCCAAGCTCTCATTTTCTCCCCTGGGAGTAAATAACACCTGTCTTTCCAATCTCATAGGTGGATTTTGAGGATACGAGATAATTCAGGTAGGGGAAAAAATATCTGGTAAGTGGTAAAGCAAATAGGGAGTGCAAAGTTATTGTCCTACAATGTAAAACTTATGCTACATTGTTTTTCTCAGATTAAATGTCATTGCAGACCAAATCTTCAAGGAGTTGCTGTGTTCCTTGGCCTGCTGAAAGAGGGTAAGTGTAAGGGGTTTCTATTCCAGTTACTTAGCAGACCCTGTGGTCGCACGTCTCCCCCAGGCCTTCGCAGCTCTGTTTGGGTGGTGCTGACCTACTGGTCCTCATCCCCTGCCCTGGGGCTGGCTCCCGGAGTGCTCCTTAGAGGGTGCCTTAGTGTTGAAGGCTTTGTTTTAATAGTCCTGAGGTGAGTCACCCCTCCCACCTGGGTATGAAGGTGCCACATACCCCAGGAGCTGCCGTCACCTTGAAGAGTGAAGCCAGAGCTGAGAAAGACTGCAGAGGAAAGAGCCATTGCTCTGGTGGTCTCATGGTCCTCTGGACTAAATTGTGTCCGAAGTTCGTGTCCTTCCAGGCTTTCCCATCAGATGAGGCGATACATTTTCTTGATTGACTTTAAGGTGCTTCTTTTCTGTCTTCCAAGTAAAATCATCTTTAGGAATAGACTATGTAACCTTGAGCAGGTCTCATTAACCCTCTACACTTCAGTTTCCTGGTCTATAACGAGAGACAATGTAATATTTATCATACATGGGGTTGCAGTGAGGTTCAGTCGTGCTTGAAAAAGTGCTTAAGCACAGAGCTTGGTACAAAGTAAGCATTCGATAAACTGGGCCTGTTTTGTTTGGCGTTCTAGACATTAAGTACATCATTTCCCTTAGTCAACGCATATGACCAATCCTGTGAGGCAGGAGTTATTATCCCTGTTTCACAAATGAAGAAATGAGGGTTAGAGTTTAACTTGCCCAGGGTCCCGTGGCTTCCAAGAGGCAGAAATTTCACAGTGTATGAGTGTTTCTCCCCCCACCCTTTTTTTAATACTTTGACCAGATGGTTGATGTTAACTGTGTAGTATCAGTAAAATATTAATTGATGCCTATAATGTTAGGTATTAGAGACATGGCCATAATTATACATGTTCTCTTTGAGTTTAGTTTTAGAGGATACAGTCTTACAACTATCTGTATTATAAGAGATATTAGGTTGAATTTATGTCTCGGATTTACTGGCATCATGCTCCTAAAAACTGAGCTAACTAGCCAACATCTACATCCGATGAGCACATGAAAAGCAATGCGTTATGCAACTAAATGCAGAACATACAGACCTCATTTCCATATACAGCTTAAAATACATGCACACATATTACATTCCAACTGCTATTTAATTTCTCCTAAAATTCTGAGCTAAAATGTTACATTTCTTTTACATTTATTGATTCATGGGATTTTTAAAAAATCTTTTTCATATGCACTATAAAAGTATTAGCTCTGTATTTTCTCTTTCTGACATGATGTCAGCTTGCATGTTTTCTAGGAGTCTGAACAATACAATTAGATGTGATAATACAATGAAAGAAAACTGGTCTAGGGCCTCCCCCGCACTGTTTTCTTAAGACATCTACAGGGAAATCTAATGGTGTGTTTTACTGTTGACCTCTAGGTGACATTCTCCAGATGTCTGTGTTATGGAGTGCCTCTGAGAGAACTCTAGTCACCAGGGCTGTGAAGAACTATACAGAGAACAGTTCTTCTGAATCTCCTCCTTCCAAGTGTTGTTGTATGTGATCAAGAAATTCCTTAAAATCAATCTATAGTAAGCCCTGAAAAACAAAAAACAGCTCTGAACTTGTCTTCTTAACTAGGTAAATAGTTTGTCTAAGCCCTGCCTCACCTGGGCTTTTCATGTCCCTTTTGATAGAAGGGTCTGAGAGCAGGGCCTGGAAAACCATCCTGCAGAAAGAGATTTTTACCTGTATGGAAGCCATACCTGAGGACGCTAACAAACAACTGAGAATAGAGCTTGCGTCCTGTCTTTGGCTAGATTAGTTTTTAGAAACCTGGAGTTATGGAAATAGACTATTACAGTCAGACAGATCTAGCTTTGCTCTTTCTAGCTGAAAGACACTGGCTGTATTACTTAACCTTGCCAAGCCTGTTTCTCATTATAAAATGAGAGTAATAGCACCTACTTTGTAGGGTTGTGGAATAAATGGGCTCAGTTCAGTGTAGATATTCAATAAAAGATAGTTTCTCTCCCCTTTCATGAAATCTCTAAGAAACTATTTAATATAATGTGTTTCAAGAAAGATGTTCCTCTTAGGAATATAGTCTCAACATCACTAGACTTCACCAGTTTGGAAGCATAAGTAATATTATATAAATACTAACACATTTTTAAAACTTATTTCCACATTTATATAATACAGCAATTTCTGGGTATCACTGGAGATGTGCCTTGTGCTCGTCCCTCAACCTCTTCCACACCCTGTAGGGTCTGCTGCCCGGGGAGATCGGCTCAGGCCCGGAACCCTCCCCTGCCTCTCCTGGCGCAACACTCAACAGGGTGCTGCTTCTCTTGAGAACCTGAGACTCCCAAACTGTACTGTCGTCAAGGAGCCAAAAGGACATGACTTTCTCTTAAGACTTCAGAGCACCAGCAGCACCGTGTCTGCAAGGGAATGACCTGACCCTCTCTCCCCATCGTGTTTCTCACTTTGTCACTTGGACCACAAATAAAATCACTTGTGCTTTCCTATGAAAACAGCTTCTTCAGCTTCTGCCCATAGCCACTTTCCCTCGCTGTCCATAGTAAAGATCAGGAAATTCTCTCTCCCAAGGTCCCCTCTTCCATATAATCCACCCCAATGCAAGCCAATTTCTATAACCAGATGCTTTAGACCGTCAATTTCCCAGTTCACCATCCAGACTCTGAAACCCAGTCTAGGCTCAGTTGGAACCCTCTGCACAGTAACAATTACTACACATTCTGATTTCTCATCCACGAAAAATCTGCCTTCCAAATCAAAAGCAAGTATGAAACAGCGTAAAATGTGTAATATAAATTTATTCTGTGACATTTTCCTCATTGAAGATATTTTAAAATAGATTAGAATACATCCATATTTCATGAAAAATACCTAGAAAAATTTAGGTAATACCTGTCATATACATGATTTGACTGAATATCAATTTTTTTTCATTTGGAACATTTTTTTAAAAAAATCGTAACATAGAAATGATAAGGATAGCTGTGTTCTTCATATATCCGTTGTCTCACATATTTCAATTCAGCTGCCAGTCTTTTTAACTATTTAAGTTCATGATGTTTGCTTCTGTTTTTCAATGGGAAGAATATTCACTTTCTGTTTCTCAACAGTGATACTTAGGTCCTTTTTCTCTGATTTTTCAAGAAAATCCTTCATGGTGAGTTTAAACACTAATCGAGGGTCCGGCTCTGAGAGTGGTGGGCAATTGCACATCTCTCTAATTTCGAGAGCCTGTAAAGAAAGAATACAACAGAGTACAAAAAAGAACACAAAACACATACATACATAAACTTAAGATTATTCCAATAATTCTTAATATGCTCTATGCAAAATAATAAAATATAAGAATACATTCAGTATTTTTTAACAAAAGATAACTTAATTACAACACATAAGAGAGAACCACAGACAAATTCCTGATAAACAGTTACATTTTCACATAATATATTGGAAAAGAACAGCTGCGTCTGTGATGACTGCCCAGCGTCCCATTGGGAATGAACAAAATCTCTTTGGTTTCAGTCAAACTCGAGCCAATCCTGAGAACAACCGTTCAGATTAGACAAGATCTGAAGACTCTGAGATTGCTTTCAAGAAAAAGGCAAAAATAGAACATAGATATCTGAAGCTACTGAAAGAAGACATACATAACCGGGTGACTAATAACCTAGAAAAGCAAATAGCCTAAGCAAAGCAAAATCATGACAATCTTACTTCCAAGAAAAATAAAATGCTGCAAGGAAAAGTAATCACAGTATACAAATGGCTCAGCTGTGACTAGTGTTCAGTGTTTACAACATTAAATCCGATCTAACCAAAATCACCATGTGACCACACTGGAAAGGGAGCTGGATACGCCATGTGCATGTCCAGGTGTGACAGTGACAGGGAGAGCTTGATGCTCACCGTCTGTGGGAAGGTACACAGATACTGCCTGAAACAGAGAAGCTAGGAAGTAGTAATATAAGCGTGTTATGTAGAATGATAGGAAATATCAAAAGGGTAATTTAAGAGAGTTGAAAATGGTTCCCCTTGAAACTGAGGGCAGGGTAGGGGGACTGCTGCTTTAAGTAACTAGCCTTGGAGAACGAGGTGAGTCTTTAAAGGGGGTCCATGAATGACTTTAAGACATAAAAACAAAAGAAAAAAAAATTTAGGAAAGATCGTCAATATCTAAAGGGTTTTAAAAGAAACATATTTAGGGTTAAAAAAACAAAGAAAACCCCACCTAGCTTAGTTTTTTTTACTACCTCTAATTTTTTGGTGGTGATTCGTGTTAAGGGAAGTAAATAAAGCAGGGAGGGGCAGTCAGTGTTTGAGGAGTAATAAAATTTTAGAAAGACTAACCAGGCAAGGTCTCGTTGATAAAATAATGACTCTGGGAACAGGGGAAAAGACCTGAGGACACGAGGAAAGAGGCCATGCACGCGCCCAGGAGAGGGGCACGGCAAACAGCGGCCGCTGCGAGCACGAGGGCTGCGGTGGGAGAGCGTCAGCCTGGGGCGCTCTGGGACCTGAGGGAGCTACCACAGCGGGAGCAGGGCGGGCGCCAGGGGCAGGGCAGATACTGTAGGATCTCTCAGGACGTGGCACAGAGGTTAGGATTTACCCTGAGTCGGCCTGCCCCGGGTAACTGTGGAGTCCATGGCAAGAACACAAAGGAAGGCTCAGATACCGCATTTTTAATATCTAAAAGCTGTATCAAGTACTACATAAAATATGTTCTATTCTCCCACACAGTCAAAATGACCCTGCAGGCCAGGTACCAAAATTAGAATTCCTGAATTTCGGAACGTCTAAGGTTGGGGGCCGCCTGCCCCAGCTCCTGCCACTGGCCTGCTGCACTCCCTACTCCCCTCCCTGGCTTCCCTGCACTGTGAGGGGCCCTGGGTGTGGGCGCCCAAGGGCAGAGGTCCTCACAGCCCTGGAAGCAGGCTCAGCAGTGTCTGGGTGAGGAATTCCATTACCGTAAGACCCAGAGTGCAAAGGTTCTTAGATGGCTGTACCCCCTGAATACAGAACAGGGGAGCACGCAGCCAGGGGCAAGCCAGAGCAGGGTCTTCTGAATGGACGAAGCCAGGGCAGGAACTTGACCTAGGAGCAATCCTGACTCTGAATGCGGCTACGAGTTACCAAAATAAACTGAGGACAAAAAGCATTCAAGTGAAACTCTTTGGTGACAGGGCCTTGTCTGAATTTTCCTTGTACAGTGGTACCTTGTTTTTCTAATGTAATCTGTTCCGGAAGACCATTTGAGTTCTGAAACATTCGAAAACCGAGGCACCACTGCATTTCACATCTTACATCTACTGAGTGTGTTAAATAAATGTTCCTTAAAGTAAGTTGAACTGAAAAGAAAGCAACACCAAGAAAATGCTTCCCAACTACATCACTGAAGTAAAAAGAAAGTCAGACGCTCAGCTAAATGGTGATCTACTGTCCGAACCAGGATACCTTTGAGAGTGAAAGGAGATGCTATTAAGATTCATCGGGCATAAACCGAGTCATCAGGCATAAACTGAGACTGTCCTAGCAAAGGTGGGACATACGGTCTAGTCTGGCTTTAACTCCTTTATAACCACAGCGACATACTTTTCCAAGTGAGAAGCTGATCCGTCATGGCTGCTACACCACCTGCCTAAGGCCTTACCTGGTACCAGTGAAGGGACAAGCAGGTAACAGCTGGCACAGCTGAGTTTAGCACTGGGAGATGCAAAGCAGCAGAGGGAAGAACAGCATGTCATCTCCTATAATCTTTTACATTCAGTAAAAGCTCTTCTCTGCCCCATAAGCTCTCTTTTCAGTCTTTTCACAGTCAACAAATAGAGCAGCGTGCTGTGTAAGGAGCTAGACACACTGCTCAGGAAAGATGGTCCCAACTCCAGCCTCATGCAAATCACTCTGCATTTCCCCAGTACTGGGCATTTCCATTGTTTTTATAGTTTTGATTGGCTTTTACAAATTACCCTATGAAAAAAATCTTAATTTAAATAAAAGATGCTTTTAACCCCTATTTGGGTTTACTTGAAGTATGCCCTCAAGATAGAATGATCTGCGCAAAGAGTAAGAACAGCCGGGTCAGCATGGCTCAGTGGTTAAGCATTGACCTAGGATCCAGGAGGTCACGGTTCGATTCCTGGTCAGGGCACATGCCTGGGTTGTGGAGGCAGAAGGGGGTGTGCAGGAGGCAGCAGATCAATGACTCTCATCACTGATGTTTCTATCTCTCTCTCTCTCCCTCTCCCTTCCTCTCTCTGAAATGGATAAAAACATACTTTTTTTTAAAAGAGTAAGAAGAGATTACTTAACAGATAACAGATTATTATATAGGACCAAACTGCTTTCTGCCAGAAAGGCTTTACCAACTTACAATGCTATCAACATATAGGCATACCTGAGTTATCCATAATTTGTAAAGCATAGTATTTCATGATTTTTATCTATATAGCCACATCATGTCAAACCTCAGGATCCCTAGCACTCATCAGATAAACTTACAAAAGAAGAAACTGAGCTCCAGAGAGGTTAAGTGACTGGCAGGGAACAAACAGCTGCTCAACGAATGTTTATAGCAGCTTTATTCATAATTGCCAAACCTTGCAAGCAACCAAGATGTCCTTCAGTAGGTGAACGGATAATCTGTGTTATATCTAAACAATGGAATACTCACTGCTAAGAAGAAATGAGCTATCAAGTCATGAAAAGTCAACGAGAAAACTTAAGTGGAAAAAAAGCAAATCTCAACAGGCTACATGTGTATGACTCCAATTACATGACATTCTTGGAAAGGCAAAACTATGGAGACAGAAAAAACAATCAGCAATTGCCAGGGGTTATGGGGGACAGAGGGGTGACAGGCAGTTGCATGGAGTATTTCTGGGCAATGAAACTACTCTACATGATACTATAATGGTGAATACATGTTATACATTTGTCAAAACCCACTGAATCTACAACACTAAGAGTGAACCCTAAAGGAAACTGTGGACTTTGGGTGATGATGATGGGTCCATGCCTATTGCAACAGACAGATGTACCACTCTGGTGCAGTATTTTCAGAGTGGGGGAGAATGTGTCTATATGGAGGCAGAAGGTATACGGAAAATCTCTGTTAACATCCACCCAATTTAGCTATGACACTAACATTGCTCTCAAAAATAAAGTCTGTTAAAAAAAAAAAAAAGCTGGCATAGAAGTAAAAAGGCTTAGAAAAAAGGGATTAGAACCTGCCTTTTGGTGTTGCTTTCATTTTTAATGCATTTGCACCACTTGCTTTTGTATTAATGGTTTTTTGCACCACATTATAGATTTCTTGAGTAAGTCTCTTATGGAATAAATGTACTCTGGAGATGTCTGAGCTACATTTATTGCTAAAAACCTATATATTCTTCATAAAGGCTTTCCATTAATATTTCTTCATGTGTGAACTGTTTCTCTCCTCCAACTATCTATCAAGCAGAATCCTGTTATAGACCAAATATATTTCTATCAAATCTTCATCTATTTTGCAAAGAAAGATTTTATCAGACATATTGGTAAAATATTTCTCCTGCTTTTTAACTATTCCTTCCCATATTTATTTTATTACATTTTCAGGTGTCAACAGCTTTTATTTTCATAAATTCAAATCCACTTATTAAATGCGCCTTCGTCTCTTTAAAAGTGAGCAACGTTTTCCCGCTGTCCAGCTAGAATATGCCTTTCCATTTCCTTTACTTTGTCTACTGTGTTTAACTTCATGCACCGCACATAATAGGCACTTAAATGTATGCTGAATTTTAAACAAGCATTTATAGAACACAAGCTATGAATAAATCATTATGACAAATGTCATAGGAAAGAGTTTACAGTCTAACAGAAAGCAGGAATGTACTCCAATAACAAGAATATACAGCTCTAAGAATCCCAAGGAAGACTGTGAATTAAATATGGAATTAGCCAGCCTGAAGATTCCAACTAGAGTGGAAGGAACTGCCATCTACTGTTCACTTTTGCTGTGCCTTGCACTGTGCCAGGTATTTTTAAAATGTTATCTAAACTGGTGTTATCATATGAACCACTTTTGAAATGTAGATCCTGGTGCAGAATACTTATCATTCAAGTGTCTTATGAGGGAAGGAGGGAAGGAAAGAGAGAAGACAGGACCTTACCATAGCAAACGCACAAGTACGTACATAAAACACCCAGGAGGCATCGCTAACTCAACCTGACAGGTGAAGCAAAATGAAGGT